GGGTGTGAGAGAGTTTACGCGCGCGTACGCATGCACGCGTGTTTATACCAATGTGCCAACATCTGGACGATAAAGATTAATTTTATCTTATCTCATATTATAAGATATAATATAACCTGCTTATCTGCTCATGTCTTCTCTGAGAAGTGTTGAGATAGTATGAACTTTGACATTTGATTTGGTTTGATTACGTAGTAACTTAGCATTAAATGTACACGATAAGGCTCATTCCGTGCAAGGAAAAGGTAAAACTGACACACGCAGAAACACATTGAAAGAAACAAAAGTATGACTTACCTGTGGCACCCTCCAACCACCTGTCTTTGTTGGTGATATAAATTTATAAATGTTTAGAAGCAACAACAACACCAACACCATCACCATCACCATCTACAACAACAAGAATAGCAACAACATCTGCAGCAACAACAACAACAACAACAACAACAGCAAAAGCAAGTGCAAAAGTATTGATAAAGGGAAGTTAGTCGAAATATGCTGGAAGAGTAGTTCTTTAATGTAGGCAGGGGTCCTATCTATATAGAGGAGTTTTATTTTTTAAACGTAGGTGGTTTCACGCCCCCATTGACACAATTTAGATCATTTAGGAGACTGGCTTCGACACTGCCTGTCATGGCCAATCCGGGCTGACAGTACAGTGTTACATCCAAGCAAAAAGGCCGAGATACTCCACACAAAAAATATCCGCACTTGGGAATCGAACTCGGGTCTCCTGGGTTCGACGGCGAATGTCCTTGATCGCTGCAGGATAGACACCGGTACTTAAAGAATAACGTGAACTCGCTTATCTATCTACATTGTAATTGGTTTTAAGAAAGGTTACTTGAGGAAGTCAGTTTGCACAGAGAGTAATTGTATGGCATCGTGATGAAATCAGGCGCTCGTCAAAATAATCAAAAGGTAGAATCAGTCATTTTCCGTGGCCTTTGTGTAATTTAGATTATTCTTTTTTAAAAAATTTTTTTTTTTGGGGGGCGGGTTCTAAATACATTTTATGTCCATTTAGAAACGCATTTCTGTGTTGATTTTTAAATGAAAAGTGTTGATTAGAGACACTTTAAGAAACATAAATTTGCGGTTTCCAAAAACACTCAAGCTTTGGAAGTTCCCAAACTTTGACTTGCATTTTCTGGTTAATTTTACCCCCAACACCAGGCGACCCCACCTCCCTAAATCGTGAATATCTCGATTGTATTCAAGATCGACTGGTATTCTTTAAATCCAAGTCAAGACAAATTAACTAACTTTGAGAAGATACCAATAACTTCATAATAATATGCCCACCAATTGACGAGCGCCTGATTCCATAGTGTCGTAACTTAAATCATCACAGCGTTATTCCCTAATCGCACAAATCAATTTCTGGAAGTTTCTACAATCCGTGATTTGAAACGAAAAACAAAAAGAATAAAGACATCAAAAGACTTCTTAGTTTTATTCTGTTTCGTTATTTCTTTCCCAGTTTATAATTTGAAAATAAGAAAATCTCTAGCCATGGTTTTGATTTGAGCGCTCTTGTTTTCTTTAGTTTTCTCAAAACTTCACAAAGTGACACAAAAGCGTAAATTGCATGACGCTGATAAACCGCTACCTCAGAATTACAAGGTTCTATTTGCTGTTCAGTACCTTTTTTGAGAAATCTGACGCAAGCTTTTTTGTCTTTGTTTTCTTTTTTTTAGTTTCACAGTATTTCAAGCATTTTTCGAATGCAATTCTTGGAATATCTCGACAAAGAATCCGAATAATCTTACGATTTTGTAAAGCAGATAAAACGTTTGGTTTCTGATCTCATCGTCCTCAAAACGGCCAAAATTGCCCCTTAGAACTTTGTTATTCTGAGGTAGGTAACGAAATCAAAGTCTCATTACCTGAATAGCCTAAAGCACCTTATTAAAGTAAAACACTGTTTTCTTGACTGTGAAGTGGTATGATAATTGTTCATAAAAGTATAAAAGGCAGACACGACATGATTGGTTTTTCTCCATCTTTTATTGGCCTTCAAGTACAACAAAGAAGGAAACATGTGAGTTTTATAAAGGGTACGGCGTTTTCTTGCAACTTGGAGGAAAAATAAAGCATCTATAGGGTTTCTTTTTTTTCTAATTTTTTTTTCTTTTTTTTTTTTACAAATTTGTGTCCACAATCTCACACAAAAACACACACACACACACACACACACACACACACACACACACACACACACACACACACACACACACACACTGACACCGTCTGTTTTCAAATGGCTATTAAACTTTACTTATTTGCTAGACCTAATTAATAATAGATGGGGTAAGGATCAATGAGGGTCATTTCCGCTGACAAAATGAAAAGGTGCACAACTCCCCTTAACACAGTGTACAGAGAATAACCTCCCCTACTCTACACCGTCCAAGCAAGCGACTTGAGTATAATAAAATGTTTCTTTCGTAAAAAAAAAAAAAAGTCATGTAAAATCCGACATAGTTTATTTACAAAATCATTGCAATATGTGGAATGTATTAATTGTCACCACAATCACAAATCGTTCAGAGAATATCAGGGGTGAAAATGTTACCGGTAAAAAGCTCAGGTTAAAACAAACGTACAAACAAACACATTCTGTAAAAATCCTTAAGAGCACACGCAAAATAAGATAACATTCGTGATTAGTCAGTGCAATATGATGCAATGTATCAATATTTACCCCCCCC